TCCTTTTAATCGTTAATGAGCTATTCGCCATATGAAAGTGTATTGACGATGATGTATCTCTGGAAAACAGAACGGGGATTATCAGACAGAAATCGTATTTAGCAAGGGCAGGCTTCTGAAACAGCAATCGACAACAGTAGGTGGAAGTCAATGAACGAGAACATACGAACAAAAAAGGTGGTCGACAACGTCTTAGTGATTCAGCCAAGTACCTGCAGCAATGATGCATGCTCGAGTGAAAGTGAGACAACTATCATATCTTACTTGCAAGTTCGAACCTGTTTTCAGTGGATGGATCGGAGGATGAGCCTTGTCTGTGGATTTTCCATTGCGTGGATTTGGACCACGCTCCAGTACACGTGTGGCAAATCCTGGAACAATCGAAAACTCATCACAAGTCATAACCGCAATTTAATAATTGATATCTAAACACGGATTGATGATTCACTTTTTTGCACATACCTTGATCATGAACAGTACAACTACGTTAGGTGTGTTTAAAGTGAAATGAGAGGATAAAAGACATTGGTCATCATCAGTGCATAGCAAAATAAATTGAAGTGAACTACAAGTGGCACTGTCATACGCGGTGGTGGCCAAGTGGTTAGGTCACCAACTCGTAACCTGGGAGCCCCGGGTTCGAACGGCTCCACCGCCGCCCGTCTTCCCAGGCAGCTTTGTATGGCCGCGGCTCCCCTTCCTGAATGTTGACCGTACATTTGTATGTTCAGTAAATAAAAAAGACACTCAAAGACAGAACCACGGTTAAATGTGGGTAGAGAATGAACCTGTGCTTGGAGGGAAGTGAGAAAGTGACCCTCTATGGTCCATAGAGAATACACTATCTAACCGTGAATAAACCTGTTCAAGCATCTTGGTCAGATAAGAAGCGTGTTTAGTGCAACAGCCAGTGGCTGTGCATTTCCGTGCATCAGGCAAAAAAAGGAATACAAACGGCGAAAAAGAAAACCCTGTCCTCGATCCGTTATTGCGTCCAACTACCTAATTAACAAGTCTTCCGCACCCTAACGTGGGGAATGAGAGATACCTACTCTCCCTAAGCCCTCTTTGCATTTCTCCATTCGTCGTCCTCTGGTAACCTCCGCAAGGTTTCCTCCACCGTCATAATCTGTTCGGTTATTACTTCCACTGTGCTACCGCCATCCACCACATAATCCCCGATGCAGAGGAAGCGATCAACTTCCACCGATTATTGACCACTCAGATTCAAGGTAGGGCTAGTAAAACATCCAGTCCAGTCCAGTTTTGTACCTAAAAAGTAGAAAACGCATATTGAATGGAGTAACCCAACCGGGTAGCTTGCTGAGTGAGTATTCCACAGCACATCGTTTTTTTACTGTTCATTCAATAACAGCATTTGGCGCATTTTCTACTATTTCGTTTACTACCACGTTAACCATGAATGGAGAAAAGTGGGAAACTTGAAGAACACCGCTCCTGGTGACGAACAACTTGCCTAGCTTAATGTGGACCTCCACTCAACAAGAAGTATACGAATACAACAAACAGATGAAAGTGCAATCAGCAACGCAACGTTTTGATCAATGAACACCGCGGTACGTGTGGTACATTTCGAAGACTCAATGCAACATGAGCATGCGATCAACGCAACCGCCACCTGGTCGAAATCTGGCCGGCTTTTCGCTGATCTCCATTTCGTTCCAGGACATTGGGCGGTGAAGTACGACGGAGACGAACACTTCGGTAAATATTAGAATTAAACGTATCCGCGGTAGTTTGCGTAGTCCCCTCTCGAACATTAAAACGGTCAACGATTCACCGTAGGATACGTTCCTTTGATCAGTAGGAAAACGGAAATAGTTTATGGGACGGAATCACCCTCCATTGTGAAAGGAACAGAAAGAAGTGCGTCGTGCCCGGCTGTAGATGAGACCAACCTCGTGATACAACGGTCGTAAAGGAAATCTGTGCAACAAATGTGGATACAGGTATGCCTCAGTTGAATTTACATGGTTTGAATGGCAACTGAGTCATCCCTCTAAATATAATCCTCAAGTTGGTAACAGCCTCCACTCTTCTGCATGGTCTATACTGTTCTGCAGTATTTTCTAACAGTTGAAAAGTGGGAGATGTTATCCCCGTTTTCATATCTGTTAAACTTCTTTCTGGTTGACGTGGTATTTCCAGGACCGCCTCGGTTGAATGGACACGTGTTTTGATTAATCAGCCACGTACCGTTCAAAGACCACTGTCTGCATGTTACTCGGAATCAATATGAGCCTCACCTCGGTGGTACCCGTTCAGAAATTAGGCTCTTCAATGCATGTACTACCATTTGCACGTATATCAGTAAATCGGGCACCTGTGATTGTGGACTTGATAAATCACGCATAGCGCTACTGTTGTTTGTTATGGTATGCAGCTGTTTCGATACCTCTTATTCGCTGGATGTACATGTCCCTCAACTTGACCTCGTTGATAACGCTGAAAATACACCATATTGGGTGCATAAAGTCTGTTTCGACTGGACTCAACTGGACAGCAACATGTGTTGATCCGCGCAGATTTGAAGCAGTTGATTGCCATTACCAGTTCGATGGGCATATAGAGAGAGAATCTTCCGATGTGCCCAAAGTTTCAACCTGCGTGTTAAACCTACCTACCAGCATAACTATATCGACTGAGCCGAATAAGGCCGTCTCAAAATTTGTCGTTTCGTTCATGGGAACCACGGTCCATCATCTCGATAGGTGAACATCTTTTAGTGTTGTTTCATGGAGGTCGACACTTTGCCGCAGTGGGCGAACGCGATTACCTGAAACTCCACGTCTAACTTCAGTATTGCTGATCCGGTTTCTCCACCAGATTCATGCAGTGCGGTGTAGACAGCGATGCTCAAGCACCGACAGTCTATCTTCATCTTGTTTTGCTAACGGCCAAATCTATGTACTGTAAAGAAGCACTGGCCTAACTGTGGCAGTATAAACTCACCCGTTCGCAGACAGTCGGATGTAGCGAGGACATCGCAGATGTCTGAAATCGTTGAATGCCAGTCAAGCCTTCTGTATGCGTGCCGACACTTCATCCGTGATGCGTCCGCCAGGTAAAGTGAAGCTAAACGCTTTCATCTAATAATCGAGCTTTGCCTCCTAATTTACGAAGGGAATATCTCGAGGACAAAACTCCGGTATTTAAATGGGTATTACTACTAGGATCTTGAATTTGAGCCTCGAATGCACAGCAGGCATCAACCGCTAGAGGATCATCCGTTCTCGTAAGACCAGCTTAGTGTTCCAACTGTACAAAAAATTACCTGTAAAAGGTTTAGAAGTTAACGAGGTTTTATAACAGAGAAAAGACAAATACTGCGAGATGTTAACATTTCTTTGAATCTCTTCAGTCGCTCGAACGTAAAACAATCTGGTATTTATACAAGCAAGTTTCGGTGACTACAATAGTCTATTGGCTGTTGTTCATTTCACCACTGTAGTTACCAAAACTGGCTTGTATTAATATCAGATTGTTTTACGTTGTAGCGATTGAAGAGATTGAAAGAAATGTTAATATCTCGCAGTATTTGTCTTCTCTGTTCTAACGAATNATTGGATAAAGGGGGCCCAATGTTTCGAGGTTTTATAACCCGAAGTTCTCTCGGTGGTCTACTAATCCTAACATTGACAGCGAGCTTTAGCGAACTAAACAAGTTACGTGACAGACTGTAACCACCTGCAGAATATTTACTTGTCGCAAATAATATTTCGTAATCAAGCATTATGTCTAGATAAAACTAATCAAATCAACGGTTAGCATGACGGCACCTGCAGGGTACGGACGAAATTTCAGCATAAATCCTAAGAACCTTCTGCCCCATTGTCACTTAAGGTCACGTTCATAGTATTGCCGTATCCAAATGGAATCTAGAAGAAGCAAGTTGCACTTTTTCCTGCACACTACGTCTCGAATGGCACCCCGATCGTAAATTTTATGTAACTGAAGTCCAACGGGCGGAAGCCGTATAAGCAAGGTCTGGGAATTGGCTGGGTCTGTGAAGTAAAATGAGTTCTGCTAGTGAGCCTGTTAGTGACTGGTGGAGAAAAATGGCACACACAAGTAAAACACTGATTGCTCGAAAATAAAATCAGACAAAATTTGATCTGGCAAACGTACCACTCCATCGTGAATCGTCCAGCTGCACCCGTACCAAGCTAGCCAGATCCATATCCGCGGGAAAGATGTTTGTCTCTGTTCTCGGGTAAGATATGTATCCTTGTGTGTAAAGGCGCTCAGCTAACTGCATTGCGGCTTTGGCACCGATACGGAGTTTCCGAGTGGCTAGTTTTTCCAACTCCTAAAAACAACATGAAAAGGCGTATCTTGGTAATTGTGTATGAAAAGACAAACAACGTATGAAAGTACAATCAGAAATTTACGTTTTTAGTTTGGATGAAACCGATGTGTCACTCGTGCCAAAATATTCGGAAAAGCTCAGAATTTCAAAAGAAAAGACCATATTGCAATACTGCACGATTTATGTCCAGGACGATTTCGCTGCATCTCAACATGGTGCATACTTCAGAAAATACAATGTTTATATAGGGCTTTAGCTCAGAATTGGCTATTTCGTTGAAGGTTGGGATATCCAATTTTCAAATACACACCGTCTACTGATTAACTGTAAATAGGTGGTGGTTCTACACTGCCTAATCGCATCAGCTGGCCAGCAAACCAATGGCACTTAAAACGAACGGAAATTCAGCAATCGCCTAAACAAATTCGGATAGTCGTGTTACCCTTGGTACACAAATGAGGTGCACCACTAAGCCGTCGCCACGTTTCAAACATCCTGATATACCAGTCGCATGTGCACATCTAGGGTTTCTAACAGAAACAAAACTAACAAGTCACCTAGTACATTGGGCATTCTTGTCTGAATTAATTAGTTCGACAAGGGATAAGATAGAGAGAGCAATATGACAACTCCCCAAAAGTAGTGAGCTTTTTGTTGTTAATTGTGCAAACCGAATCAGAGTGGAACTGATTCCCAAATCGAACTTTGTGTAGTAAACGGTAGATAACGCTTGCTCCACGTCAAAAGAAGAGTAGAGAGCGCCATGCAGAAGCAAGTTAGTTTATATTCCAGACGGAGAATAAGATCTTGTTTGATTGAGAAGAAAATAAAAACATCTATGCATGAATTGGCGCTTGGCTGCTCGAAAAGAAAACCGAATGATACCGGTGAATATTTTTACACCGTGATAAACTTTAGCGTGACGAACAATAGAAGAGGTGAAACACAAACACAAGCACTCATCGGTTGCGGCAACCGGGAAACCTGAGAAAAGAAACTCGAAGCGAGCTACAGAATGCAATTAATAAAACAGGAGGAACAGTGAGCCGAATACCAGTACATTTGCCTACCACCAAATTCGAGTAGCGGTGGCAGAATTCGAACCATGAAGCTTCGTGCCTCGGTGAGCACAGACTGTCTACTCACGAATAGATCCCACGACGCTTTACAGTTTTTCACACAAACTTTGGCAAAAAACATACCCGTCGTGCAAGGCAAAAGCGGTTTTGCTAAGTGAGGACAATTTGGTAGCACCATCTTGATCACAAAAACAGATGAACAAAGCTTTTCCCTTCGTCTTGATTCTCAGATCTCAATTAATCCATTCAACGTGAGATAGAAAAACTACAGTTGCTTTCGGTGGCGTCTCCGGACTGTATGTGTTGAATCAGAGGATGCAAATACGTGGGAGAACTAAGTGCCCGACTAAGTCAAAGGAATGGGTGCTACCTCATCTAGATTGGATATATCTCTGGATGAAGAGTATTAAGTCAACTTGATCAGCATTATAGCTTTTTAGTACTCATCATCTGTGTACTGATCAGAAGAAGGGATGAGTCCAATAATCACAGGGATCTACTGCTCTCTCGTGGGATCGGGAAACCTATGCTCCGGGACTAAGAGTGGCGGACCACATGAGGCCCGCACGAACGGGTGTGGTGTTGAGCCAGACGATAGCCACACCAGCAGTATAACCTCTGACCCTAGGGTCAATCGCAAACCAGTGACAGGGACGTAAACCATTTGATCACCATCACTCATGCGTTCGGAAAAAAACTCAAATCATTCCCTCACATGTACGACTTAAAACAACAACTACAATTCTGCTGGTAGATCTCCTCAGTCAACAGACCGAATCATTCTATACAAAGTGACATGCGACAAACAATAGCGCACACAATGCAGAAGGTCGAAACAGCTTACCACTGTATCCAGCGCTACCGGTCTCCATTTGGATTTGGGACGCTTTGTCACTTCAACAATCTGACCGTAACGATTCTTGAGAATCAAAAAACGGAACAACAAAGTTGGCATTAAATTGGTGAATTGACAGATGATTAAAAAATACCGTCAATGAGCGTCGCACTGAAATTAGCCGGCTCACTTTTGTTCTCTCATGAGGAGCTGTATTCTTTTTCCACCTGCTAAACCACATTTTTGTTCGGATGAGATTCTGCACACAACCGATGTGAATTCTAGCGAAAGGTAACATCGAAATGTAACTTCAGCTTCTTGTCTGNTTTTAGCTCAAAACGACCCGTTCATATATATACTTTCCGCCTCTATGTCCCGTATTTGTTTGGTTGCTGTATAGCGCACCCATCATTTGCCTAAAAACTCGTATGGTATTTCGTGTTTTACACACGTCTGGGTTCAGACTGTGTGCCAAACAAATCATGGAACAAGAAAAACGTTCTATGATTTGCTTGTGGGCGGAATACTAACAGGTTTCCCAGACCAAGGCAGGTGAGTTTTCTTGGGGAATCTACAACCACAGCCTACGGTTAACCAAAGCCTGACGCGCAAGACAACGGAGCTGTGTGCAAAAACCACAATCCATTGAAGGCCTGTG